CCCCCCCCCCCCCCCCCGCCCCGGTAATTCTAAACGAAACCCCGGGAGGGAGAGCAGGGACTGTCAATGACGTACTCACTGTGTAGGGGAGGGAACTGAGGCACGGAGAGGCGAAGTGGCTGCCCAAAGTCCAGAGCTAGCCTGCTGGACCTGGAACCCAAAGGCAACTCTAGCTCCCAGACCGTGTCCAGCGCCCCTAGGTTACCTGTACAGCAAGGTGGCTTGTAGGGCTGGGCGACCGTCGGGTTCCCACGTCTCTCACAAAAGAAGAAGCTGAACCAGAGAAGGGAAGTGACTTTCCCAAGGTCATCCATGTCAGTGAGGTGTTGCCCCGCCCCCCTCCATCTCCAAGCTTTGCTCCCTATGCTGTCTCCGCCTGCCCCTAGTCTGCTTAGCCACTGCTCCCCTCCACCCCCTGGGGTCTGCCCTCCGCCACTTCAGAACTCCTGCAATCACCGAGATGTCAGAACCAGCCTGTCCACCTGATGTGTTAAATATAAACTGCAGGGTGCAGGGACTTTGTTTCCTTATCATGGCATCCCCCTCAGCTCCCCACCCTCTGTACCTGATGAAAGAAAGGTTGGGGGAAAGCCCCCTAAACTGTCAGGGGCAGTCAGTACTCATGTCAGGGCCTGGATCTTTTGTTTCATCGATTTAGTGCAGCGGTTCTCAACCTGTGGGTTGTGATCCCTTTGGGGTTCGAACGACCCTTTCACAGGGGTCGCCTAAGACCATCGGAAAACACATGTATAATTACATATTGTTTTTGTGATTAATCACTATGCTTTCATTATGTTCAATTTGTCACAATGAAAATACATCCTGCATATCAGATATTTACATTACGACTCATAACAGTAGCAAAATTAGTTATGAAGTAGCAACGAAAATAATTTTATGGTTGGGGGTCACCACAATATGAGGAACTGTATTAAAGGGTCGCGGCATTAGGAAGGTTGAGAACCACTGACTTAGTGTGTTTTAATGCAGACCATCACTGCTAGTCCGAGAGGGGAGGTGTTTTTAAGCTAGCTGGAGCACCATAGCACCTCTTCCCGGCTGCTACTCGCCGCCTGTGTGAGGAGTAGAATGTGGTGGCTGCTGAACTTGCCTCGAGGCCTTGCCCCTTACTGTGTGACCTTGGGCAAGTGATTTCACCTTGCTGTGCCTCAGTTTCCTCATCTATCAAATGAGGATTAAATAGGTTAATATAGCTAGAGTGCTTAGGATAGGGCCTGGCACTCGGGCACTCCTTAAATGTTGGCTGCTACTGTTGTTTTATTGTTGTCATTATCACTATTGTTATTTATAGGGCTTACCCTAGCAGAAGCCTCCTTGTAGAAGTTCTCTAACGATAGGAACTGTGACTGCTCCACACTGTCCCTGTCCTCAAGCTGACTTGGAGAAATTGTGGATGACCAGAACTTAAACCCACAGGATCCTAGGGAAGGAGAAACTTGAGAGAACTAACTACTGGTTCAGGGATTGTAAATTCAAATGCCTTCAGGGGACAGGTGGATAATAGGTATGGGGAGTGTGTGTTAAATTCAGATGTTTCAAAATATAATGCTTGCCTAGAGTGCCCAGAACCCTTTCTTGTTACAGGGAGGAGTGGGAGGTAGGGAACAGTTGAAATTTACACCAGGGTTTCTCAATAGCCACATTTGTGCTGGATAATTCTTTGTTTTAGGGGACTGCCCTGTGCATTGTAGGATGTTAGCAACATCCCTGCCCTCTACCCACTAGATGCCAAGAGCATTCCCCCCTAATTGTTACAAACCAAAATACCTCCAGACATTGCCATATATTAGGGGCAGGGGGTGGCAGAGTCACTGCTGGTTTGAGAACCACTGATTTAGACCAAAGAACAATTCAGCAGGCCATAGCTTAGGCTGCTCCTGTTTGCCTTCCTAAGGTCTTTCCACTGGTGGAAGGTTGTGTTCAGGGGTTAGGATGCCAGGAAGGCGCCTGGGACAAAGCTATGGAATTTGTCTCTTGAGAACAAAGGTTCTTAACCTGGAAGGATGGGCATTCAGGGATCTATGAACTGACTTCGTAAGCAAAACTTTGCATTTGTGCACGTGACATTTTCCTGGCAGGTGGTTCAGGAGGACATGAGGATGGGAGTGGTGGGCACCAGCTCCCCTGGTGTGCCTAGGGGCACCTTGTTTTTTTTCCTACAGTGAGGAATCGAATATAAAGATGCAAGGGTTATACTGATAGCAAGGGAAGGTTCTTCATATTTCTTTCCTTCAAAGAGTGCCAATTGTAAATTTTAAAACAACACAAGAAACACCCTGGATTCCAAGCCCAAGTTTGCCAGGGACCAGTAGTATGACCTCAGGCAAGTCCCCACAGTGCTCTAGGACAGCGGTCGCCAACCTTTCGGACCTCAAGGACCACCGGTTGGCGACCACCGCTCTAGGCCTCACTCCTCCCCCCCATCCCAAGTGGTAAGATTCTAAATTCTAGGGTCCACACTAGTTTACATTTATTTTTGTGTCTCTTATTGTCCCTTTGTTTACCATTTTCTAAAATTTCTAATATGATCCTGTAGTGTTTTAACAGCCAACTCTCTGGAGGGAAACCTAGATGTATAATGTTTTCCGTTCTCCACGGTGTAAATACTCCCACCCCGGTTGATGTTAAGCTATGGAAGTGAAGGCAGCGAAGGCAGCAGATTTGGGGAGATGCGTAGAATTGGCTCCCCATGGGAAACTGCTCCAGTGACCACTGGATACGGAGTTCTTTCTACTGTCTGATCCTCAGTCCTGTCCGTTCTGTGAACACTTCCTGACCTATGAAGCTGGGATGCAGTTTCTCCTGTTCGATTTCTGCTATCGTGTATTTATTCCATGTGTGGGTCAGAAACACTGTCTTTGCAGCATGGCATAGTATTTCCTCAGCAGAAGCTTTGTTTTTCTGTCACTAAGTTATGAGTATAGTTAAAAAGTCAAGCTTTATTATTCATTCACTCGGTCACTAATTAGCTCTCAACAGTAGTTCTCAGAGCTGGTTGTGACAGTTCTGTAGAGTGGAATGGACATGTCGCAGGAATGACAACAACACCAGGCACCTCACCAAATGAGCACACTGCCCAGCCTATCCCGAGAGCCTCGTTTGTGCTGTGCATTCAGCTGGTGGGCCCCCTTCTGTCCTTATTGCACCTACCACACAAGGCTCTGTCATCAGCAAATCCACTGCAGGCTGACTGCCTGGGATGGGAATACAAATGACTGCAATGTAATTTTCAAAGGCCGTCCGTGTGCTTCACGTGAAGTCTAGGTCATTGAGTCTCTGCCACTGTTTTAGGCACATATTTAACCAGAGATTGCTGAATATTGTGATTTCATGTTTGCATTCATGGGTAGCAGTTCCTCTAATTAGAATTTACAACCAAGAGAACAGGACTTATGTCAAACTTCTCTCTTCTTCCCCCAGTAACCTAACATGGTAGTGCTAGCTGGATCGAAGCCTTCCCTACCTGCACAAACCCTCAGCAGTCTCCCTCAACTCTAAGTTTGTGTAGTGCACAAACCTACACCACATCATTTTACCTTAATTCCAACCTGTTATCTTTTGGCAAATGTTCCATATAATAATAATAATACTAACATTTATTGAGGATTTATTCCATGCCAGGCACTGTTCTAAGCATCTCGCATTGTTAGAATCCTCCCAACAGCTCTGGAGTTAAATGTGCTATTATTATCCTCACTTCATATTTACATGCACTCAGGCAGAGAAGTTAACGTACACAGGGATATATAGCTGGTGACAGAGATGGAATTTGAACCCAGGTCATTCATACACTTGACCTATGCTCTTATTGCCCTTCAAGTGCAGTGGCCTTGTCTCCCCAAACAAAATATAAGCTCTTTGAGGGCAGTCTCACACTTCACATCCTCAAGCACCTAGCTTGGGGTCAGGCTAATATTTGGTAAGTGAATTGAATGGGCACCCTCTATGTGTTTAATGAATACTCATAGATCAAAATTTAAAAAACATGTTTTAACCATATGATTTCTACCCTGGTCATGTTTTCTCTTTAGTGAACTTATTCCAGCTAGACATCTCTGTGAAACAGGGACGGGATAAAGTCCGAGAAATGTTTATGAAGAATGCCCACGTCACAGACCCCAGAGTGGTTGATCTTCTGGTCATTAAGGTAACTGACCTTCCCTGACCGATTTAAAAACCCAACCTGCCCAGAGCTCTCCAGTCTTCCCAGATGAACACTTTGTTTCCAAGTTTAAAAAGCAACTGCTGGGTCAGCAGCTGTTGCCT